GTAGAGTGATGTATGACTGTGTGTGTAGTAGAGTGCTGTATGAATGTGTGTGTAGTAAAGTACTGTATGAATGTGTATGTAGTAGAGTGCTGTATGAATGGGCGTCTAGTGGAGTGCTGTATGAAAATGTGTCTAGTAGAGTGCTGTATGAATGTGTGTGTAGTACAGTGCTGTATGAACGTGTGTGTAGTAGAGAGTTGTATGAATGTGTGTGTAGTAGTGTGTTGTATGAATGTGTGTGTTGGAGGTAAATTAGGGTACAGATTGTGTTGTAAGAGCTTTGAGTATCTGGATTAGATAGAAAGGAGCTGTATAAGTGCAGTCCATTTACCTCAGCTATTTTTCAAGTTGTCCTCACATCATGTACTGGTTACATGGTTATTCCCCATTCTTAAATTTTGTGAAGCGACGGGGAATGATAAAAATCTGAAACTGCGACGTTGATATATATTACTGCATTCACCTTGTTGAGGTTCTGCTCAGTGTCATAGATGTTCTTCTCCACCTTATCAGCATTCTTCTGCAGCTTCTCAATCAGAACAGCCAGCTCTGTAGGGGTGGTCCTGGAAGACAGAGACAAGAGTTGAAGGATTCAGTAAGGAAAATGAAGCAAATACAACACTTTCTGCAGGATTAAACCAGTTAGGTTCAAAACCAGTCCCGGTTTCTAAATCATTCATAAAGATCTAATTAGAAAGAACTGTTCCCTAACTAAACCATCTCAGTTTAGTTTGTACAACAGAGACTGAAGGTTCAGGCAGCATGAGGAGATCAAGCTGTGAGCAAACAACACCTGAACACTGAAGATTTACAGTATAAGTGTCAACAGTAGTCACACAGGTGTACTATGAGGTTTGTACAGATGCATAAACTTTTTCAAATGTACACATTTCAAATTGCACAAGTCAGAATATTCTGGACACATAAAATCTTCAAGGTTCCAGTAGACATTATTGTTATTAACATCACAAGTGGTACATGAGGAACATATATTAAACATACACATCCATCCATCCATCTATCTATCTATCTATCTATCTATCTATCTATCTATC